GAGAAGCCCCACGAGTGCAATCAATGTGGGAAGTCCTTTCGTCAGAGTTCAAGCCTTATTCGGCATCAGAGAATTCACACTGGAGAGAAGCCCCATAAATGCAATCAATGTGGGAAAGCCTTCAGTCAGAGATCAAGCCTTTTTCTCCATCTCAGGGTTCATACTGGAGAGAAACCCTATGTATGTAATGAATGTGGCAGAGCCTTTGGTTTTAACTCTAACCTTACAGAACATGTAAGGATTCACACTGGAGAAAAACCCTATGTTTGTAATGAGTGTGGGAAGGTCTTTAGTTGGAGTTCTACTCTTGTTCACCATCGAAGAGTTCACACTAGGAAGAAGCCTTAGTGTGTTGAATGTGGGAAGGCCTTCAGCCAGAGCTCCCAGCTCACCCTACACCAGCGAGTTCACACTGGAGAGAAACCCTACAAATGTGGTGACCGTGGGAAGGCCTTTAGCCGAAGGTCAACCCTCACTCAGCATGAGAAAATTCACAATGGAGATAACCCTCGTAAATGCAGAAAATGTGGTCCAGCTTTTGTTCATGGCTCTGGCCTTATACCAGATGGATAGATTCTCCCTGGAGAGAAATGTGGCAGAGCCTTCAACCATGGTGCAAACCTCATTCTGCACTGGATAATTCACACTGGTGAGAAATCCTTGGGATGTAAAGAATGCGGAAAAACTTTCAGTCCCACCTCACAACCCATTGAAGATCAGAAAATCCAGGCTGAGGAAAAACCCTACAAATATCAAGAATGTGGAAAAGCCTTCAGTAGGGGTTCTACCCTTATTCAACATCAGGTAACTCATAATGGTGAGAAACCTTATCATCACCCTGTGTGTAGGAAAGCCTTCGTCCTTTGCAACTCACACCAAATCAGCGAACTCATGTTGAAGAGAAACCTCCTTTAAATGATGGATCTGAAAGATACTTTATTCATATCAAAAAGATTTTCCAAGAATCACATTTTTAATATGATAAATGTGGGAAACAATTTAGCAATTTTTCATTTTATGTTTGATAGGATGGCATAATCAAAGTTGAATGAGGTCTAAATATTACTGGCAAAGCCAAATAAACAGTTCAGATGACTAGTAAAGTCATTATGTTTGAAAGTAAACATGAGAGAATTCATTCTGGAAAATAAGGCTGTCTGTGTTAAGGTTGCCATTGTGCTCAGGAGGTGAGCCATGTGGTGGTACATTCAAATATGAGTGGAGGGAGTGAAAAGCGAGCCCACCTGATTCTGAGTCTACCCTACCTGATTTCCCTCCAGTCTTACCTCTTCTTTCCTATCTAAGCCCAGGCTTGTAGCTGAGTATATCCAGTTTCAATCCTGCACACGTGCCTCCAGGTGTGGTGCACAGAACTTCAGCCGATCAGGCAAACTCAAGCCTTATTCCATCAGGATGGTCTGGCCCATCTCCCCCACAAACCTACAGAGCAACTGCAGGTGGAGTTCCTTCCTCACTTGGAGCCCCAGTTTTTGCATTTGTAAAATGAAAGTTGTTTCGTTTTTTTAGTTTTAAGGAATTGTCCAGTTCATCATAGGAGGGACCTCAGGGGCCAGTAAAGCAGGGGGCTGCCAAGTAGCTCCACTTTTGAAAACTTAATTACTGATAAGACTTTTTTAAAGGTAGGTTTATTGTGGTATAATTTGTATATAATAAGTTCACTCTTTTTAGTGTATAGTTCTATGGGTTGTGTAGCAACCACCCCAATCAAGACAGAACATTTCCTGTCACAACCCAGAATTCCTTTTATGCATGCCTGTGATCAGCCCTTCTTCACCCCTAGTCCCTGGAAACCACTGGTTTTCTGTCCTATAACCTCACCGTTTCCAGAATCATACTGTGTGTAGCCTTTAGAATCTGTCTTCTTGCACTTAACATAATGATTGGAGACTCCTCTATATTGTTGCTTGTATCAATAGTTCATTCTTTGTTATCACTGAGTAGCATTCCATTGTATGGATGGAGTAGTTTGTTTATCCATTCACCCATTAAAAGATATTTGGGTATTTTTAGTAAGGGACAACTATGAATAAAGCAGCTATAACATTTAACTACATGCTGTGTGAACCTGACTTTTCAGTTCTCTTGAGAAAATAGCAAGGAGTGGGATTGGTGGGTTACATGGCCAGCTTATGTTTAACTTGTTAAGAAACTATTTTCCAAAGTTGGTTATACATTCCCACCAACAATGTATGAGAATTTAGTTGCTTTGAATCCTCACCAGATCTGGTATTGTCAGGTTTTTTTCTTCTAGCCATTTCACTGGTGATGTAGTGAGATCCATGATTTTACTTTGCTTTCCCTATTGACTGTGGTTTGATCAGTATGCATATATTTAAAAGATTTCACCAGGAAGTTTGAAAAACACTGGAGTAGTTAATCTTTAAGGGCTGATAGCACCACCTCTGAAATCCCGATTTCAATTCTGAGACTCCACCTGGAAGAATCTTCTTTCCAATCGTCTTTTGATTCCCTCTCAGCCCAATATTGGCCCCTTTAAGGAGGCTTTCTTAGTTAATCTCTCCTTCCATTTTCACTGTGTTTTCTTAGGGAATTTGAGTCACTTCTGCATCTGGTCTGACCTTCATCCTGTGACTTGCTGCACTTATTCCCCCATGCATGTTCTATCTCCCCTGCTACATTATTGAAATTCTTAGGCACAGAACTGTTCTGAGTGTGGGAAAGGCCAGCCCTATGGGGTCCACGTGGAAGGGTCTGCATGTGCACAGAAGAGGGAGTGGAGAGCACAGGTTCATGTAGAGGGTGCTGCCCACCTCTGACATGGATTCATTCTGACCTCAGGGAAAGCATCGGATCTTCCTGGGTCTCTTTTTCCCTATCTCTAAAGTGGGGATAAAAATACTTGCCCCGCTTAGAGTGTATCCTTCAGAAAGAGAATAACTCTCCTATTCTTGTATCCCACAGCACAACATCATATCCCCACCATATCCACTCATTTTATTTTACTCTTTCTTTCTTTTCTTTTTTTATTGGGATGATATCTGGCCCTGCCTCCCAGGCTGGAGTGTAGTGTCACAATCATAGCTCACTGCAGCCTTGAGCTCCTGGGCTCAAGTGATCCTCCTGCCTCAGTCTCCCAAGTCATTGGCACTACAGGCGTGCACTAGCACGCCTGGCTTGGGATGGGATGTTTTTGTGCTTAGTTTTGAAAGCTCTGATTCTAGATGTTTTTAATATCTCTATATGCTTGTTTGAGGATATCTACTTCAGTGCTGGGTGTTACAGTTTTCTTCTGCTCCTTTGGCTTCCTAGGACTCCCAGCTCCATCTCTTAAATTTATGGACACTACTGAGTATCTCTTTGTGCAGCTGGTGAGTTTTTTTCCTAGTCTACCATTAAACAAGGGCTATAGCCCTTTGGGGCTTCAGATTTTTTTTTTTTTTTTGAGACAGAGTCTCACTCCTTTGCCCAGGCTAGAGTGAGTGCCGTGGCGTCAGCCTAGC